AAGTGTCTAGGAGATGCTCTGCAAATGTTTATGATTCCTCTCTTAGCAACAAACAAAGCCGCCATTTTTGTTTGTTACAGACATCAAAACACGACTCTTTGTTACATTACATGTACCCCTCAACACAAGTACTTCAGGATTGAGTTAGTGTCAAGAGGACCAAGTGGCTTTTCAGGGTATTTGCCACGAGTCATAAGGATTGTCACATGAGAAAAGTCTGATTCTTTTGTTGTATTCATAACTTTTGTATGTTGGGTCAACAAAAGTTCATTGCTTTACATGTATACCCCAAGTTTCTCTAACCAAAACCAGTGATGATCATACACTCTCCATTTCATTCCAAAAGCTATGGAGCTAAGAAAGCTTCTTACAAAGGATTTCATTCTTGTTGAATAGACTCCATGGGAATATCTTCAAGCCAAGCGACGACTTCTTCGATCAACGGTCTCCTTCTAGGATCATGATCAATGCATTTGCACGCAATCTCCAACATCTCCAAAACCGGTTTCTCGTTCACATTTTCGCGTATCGACGAGTCAATAAGCTCTGCTTCACGCTTCTCAGCTTTCATCTGAAACACACGAGAAACTAAATCTCTGCAACTTTTCCCTTTACAGACTTCCACAGGTCTACGGCCCGTAACAAGCTCCAGAAGTACAACGCCGAAACTGTAAACATCTCCTCTACACGTCGCAATCAATGACTGGCTATACTCTGGAGGAATATAACCCAATGTCCCCACCAAATCAGTCGTCACGTGAGTATCGTATGGCCTAAGCAACCTCGCTAACCCGAAATCCGCAAGATGAGCTTCAAACTTCTCATCTAACAGAATGTTACTCGATTTCACATCTCTGTGTATAACATTCGGTTCACAGACTTTATGCAAGTAAGCAAGCCCACGCGCTGCGCCTTGAGCTATCTTCAATCTCACATCCCATTTGAGTGTCATATTCCCGTCTACCCGCTCATGTAGCCAATAATCCAAGCTTCCGTTCTCCATAAACGAGTAGATAAGCAGCCTATCGTTCCCGTGCTTGCAATAGCCTTGAAGAGAGACGAGATTCTTGTGTTCCGCTCGCGACAATGCTTCAACTTCCGCTTGGAATTCACGTTCCATCTGCCCGCAGTCACCCGAAAGCCTCTTCACCGCTGCTTTCGAGCCATCGGGTAGATTTGATTTGTACACAAGACCAAATCCGCCACAACCTATGATGTTTGCCTGACTGAAATTGTTAGTAGATTTCAACAAATCCGCGACACTGAGATCTTTGCATCCGCAGCTATGGAAAAGCACAATCTTCGATGTCCCAAGAGCTTTGGGACCACCACCGCTGATAATTTCCTCATCGACGTCATTGATTCGATCATCCGCGTCTTTTCTTGAAATTCTTAGTAGAATAACAGAGAGAAGCAGAGTAATCCCCACGGCGAGACCTATGGTAAGTACAACAATGCTGCTTCTCCCGAATTTTCTGCCATTATTACTATGTGGAGAACCTTTCGGTGTCAATATATTACTCATCAGAACATCGCAAGGAGAATCAATCGCGCGACAGAGTCCCAAATTTCCTTCAAAACTCGAATGCGGGAAGCTGTAAAACTGACCTCCGGACGGAATCGCACCGGTGAGACGGTTAAATGCAACGCTGAACCTCGACAAGAAAGTGAGACTCTGAAACGACAGAGGAATCGAACCATAGAGATGATTGTAGGACAAATCAAGAAGCTCCAAATTGTCAAGACCTGAAATGGAGTTAGGTATCGTCCCAGTGAAGTTGTTCCTGCTCAAATCCAGCATGTGAAGCTCTTTCAACCGCCCGATCTCCGGCAAGATCGCCCCGTTGAGGCGATTATTATTCAAATAGATAGATGGCGGGAATCTCGAAACTTGGTTATACGGAAGACCGCTCGAGCTCTTGTTCCGCTTCACGTAGAGAGGAATTCCAGAAGAGCCAGTCATCTGAGAAGCGGTGCAGTTGAGATGGATTAAGTTCTTGAGCTCGGTTAAAGTTACCGGGATTTCACCGGTTAGGGTGTTGTTTGAGAAGTCAATGTAGAACAGACTCTCCATCTGACCGATCCAACGAGGGATAGTTCCATAAAAGTGATTCCAAGAAAGATCAAGAACTTCCAGCTTCTTGCAATTCAAAAGCCAGCTCGGAATCTGGCCTTTGAGACCACAGTTTCCGAGTGCAAAAATCGCGAGGTTGTCGAAACCGGTGACATCTCTCGGCACTTCATCGCCGATGAAATTCTTTGAGAGAATAAGAGTGGAGAGGTTTCTGCAATGTTGCAGCACATTCATCGCCTCAGACAAATCCACAAAACTGTTGTTGGACAAGGACAGGAACAAAAGAGACTTCAGATTTTTGAAGGTGTCGGGAATTTTGCCGCTGAACTCGTTTTTCGCCAAACTCAAGATCTTCATCTTGGAGCAATGGCCTAGTGAATCTGGAAGAGTACCAGAGAAATGATTACTTGCGAGATCGAGCACGCAAAGATCGGAAAACCCAGTGAAGTTAACAAGATTGACAGAACCGGATAATGAGTTGTTCCTAAGATCAAGCACCCGCAGTTTTGAGCATTGAGATAAGCTTGATGGAAAGCTTCCCGAAAACTTGTTGGAGCTTACGTCTAGGTGTTCCAGTTGAGTGAGATTACCAAAAACATCTGGAATGACACCGGAAAATCGGTTCTCAGAAATCAACAGGGACTTCAGACCAGAGAGAGAACTCAATTTCTTGCTTAACTGTCCGGATAAGTAGTTTCCAGAGACTGAAAGTTGCTCCAAGTCCCGGGTCGAATAAAGATAGTCCGGAAGTTGGCCAGTCAATCCGTTGCTGTCGACATGGAGCCGATGAATAGATTTGGTGCAGTTGTACAATCCATCCAGATTTCCAACCAAACAATTCATCGATAAATCAAGAACCTGAATCTCACTAGATGAGCTGCATAGTTCAGGATGAATCTCACCTTCGAACAAATTGTTGCTTACATTAAGCATCACAAGACCCGGAAACACTCCAACCTCGGATAGATTCCCGCTCAGCAAATTGCTGGAAACGTTCAGCGACTGGATCAGCTTTAAACCGGACACCGCTTCCGAAACAGACCCTGATAACAAATTATGACTCAAATCAAGAACTTCAAGCTGCTCTAACTTGGAAATCTCCGCTGGCAATTCGCCTTTGAGCTGATTATGAGAAAGATCAAGCAATCTCAGCCGACTCAACTCGCCTAAAGAACCCGAAACCACACCTTCCAAACCTTTTTCAGACAAAACCAACTTTGTAACTCGACTAGAAACATCACTCCCTTCGCAAAACACACCATCCCATTCGCAACAACGAGAATCGTTTAACCAAGACTCCGTAACAGACCTGTTCTTCAACGCTCCAGCGAATTCCCTGAGCGCAGATAAGTCGCTGGGGTGACATTTCAGCACAGGTTGGCTCAGAGATGAACCAACAAAAAAGACCAAAAGGAGAATGATCACCATGACTAACAAAAAGACCAGAGACAAGAGTCTTCTCTAGCACAAGAGCTTAAATCACAGCTAAAGATTATGCCATTTGCTTCTAGTCACAAATAAAGACAACAACTTTCACAAGTGGAGTGAGTTCCTTATGAAGGAGAAAACTCACACAGTCACATGCTCATGTCCCAAAAAGAGTCAAGCTTTTTCACAACTTGTAGTTGAAGCAACATTGTGGAAGCAAATTGAGATCAGCAACACTTAACTTTCCTGAAAATCGAATCCCAAGAAAAACAGTATGAAATCAAACAGAAACTAACAGACAAGAAACTCAAACTAGTAAAGCTTGATTGCAATTTAGAATAAATCTAAAATTCTCATATTCCAAAAAATCACCTCGAATCCAAGAATCACATACTACTATTGAAGACTTGT